GTCTTACCACCGTCAGCGTCAGACTCGACTACTAAGAAGGGCCAAAGGCTTAACGAAGGGAAAAAAAAATTCAACAATAACCAGACAGAACTTGTCTCAATAAGTCACGACTAAAAAAAAAAAAAAATAAGAGGATAAGAGTATACAAGAAAGAAAAAAGATGAGAGAAGTCAACTTTAGCATTCCCAGCGTCAACAAGGCGGCTGTCAACATCACCACTACTCTTTACGACAGACGGGCCCTCGACTGCACATCGACTCTGCCTCTCATCAACTCCCTCAACCATCTCGCCTACCTCACTACTTCATCAGACCGCATCCGTGACATCCTCACCGTCGATGGCGGCATCGAACAGCTGGTATGCATCCTCAAGGCTGGTCGCAGCAAGGACCTCATGGAGATGTGGAAGTGGAACCTCGCCTTCCAGTGCGTTGTCAACATCGGTGTTCGTGGCTCAGAGAATGTTCGCACCCGTGTGGTAGAGGCAGACATGGTCCCCGTTATTGCTACCATCCTCGATAACTACATCCGTGTCGTCGACCGGATACGCGCTTCTTCTTCGGCGGCTGCATCCACCGATCCAGATGCTTCTCGCTCAAAACAGCACAAGACTGCCATCAATACCACCACCACCTCGACCCCGACTCCGACCTCTTCAACGTCATCTTCTAGGAGAGACCAGCCTCCTAGAACGTCAAGAGCTTCGTTTTACGACCATAGATCAGACCAGCGGAACGCTCGGCGTCAGGCTCCTCCTCCTTCCATCGAGATTCCTTTACCATATGCTCAGGACGGGCCAGAACATAATACCGCTACTACCACTGCTACCACTGCAGCCACCACTGCAACTACCGCTGCCACAGAGGGCCGTCACAACAACAACCTCCATACCCCCATAGACGTTCAGCCCTCTCCTCACATCGTCCTGACCTCGCCGCCTGAACGGACAACTTTTAACCACCACCATCACCACCATCACCAGCGAGAAGGTCATCGCCACCGGATCATCCAGCCACTCGCTTCTGCCACTGTCGCTACCGCGGCTACCACAATGACCACCACCACAACAACAACAACAGCACCTACTACTGACCCGTTCAATCCTATACGCCAGGTTAGAGACGTCGATCGCCTCCCTTCGGCCCTTCCCGGTCTCCAGGGCGGAATAACTTCTCAGCCAGAGTC